CCTACACTGTAAAAATGAAGGGAACATATTTGAAGTGTTCATCCTGACATGACATTGCAAGGCCCCACACAAGCACACGAATAATGATTGAGATTTACCACCTTGGACTAACCACCACATAGTCCAGACCTAACTCCATCTGAGAGGACATCACTTCTTGTCAGACAGGTCAAGGCAGCAGTAAAGATGTGGTTCTGTCAACAAAACTAACCGGTTTAATGTGATACATTCATGAAACTACCTGATGTTGGTGGAAGTGTGTGGACCCCAGTAGCGATTATGTCAAGATGTAATTGTGTAAAAAACAGTAGGGTTCAAGAAAAGAACCCATTTTGTTTCAATGAAGTATGGGGGAGGCATTACATTTCAGCATGTCCTTTTCATGTACTGTGAGTGACAATCTGATATTATTACCTTTGTCCTGTGTTTGGTCCACCAGCCCACTTACAGCCTGCAAGATAAAATAGGAGGAAAAAACCTAAGCTTATATCCACAGTTCAGAGCTTTCTATTATTTATTTTATTCAATTTACATGTTACACTAATGTTTCTGGGGATCCACAAAACCAAAGAACTGACTATGTTGAACTTACAGCCATTGATGTAATGGAAGATTTTGAAAACAGTCTCTCTGCCTCCTTAAACTTCCTGTTACGCTTATCTGCCTTGCTGTTTGTATTTTTGTTGCTTGCTAAGTAGCGATCCCATCCTCGGATAATGTTTCCATACAGCTGAGTATCTTCTAAGTAACTTCCTTCAAAAGCATATATTTGTCTTTCTAGATTAGCTAATGTATCCTGAAACAAGACAGACAGTGGTAACAAGCCAAGACTCCATATTCAATCAATTTCATCAATTCATTTCTAAAACACTCTTTTGAAGATGCTTTCACTTCGATGTGCGAATCAATTTCATCAATTCATTTCTAAAATACTCTTTTGAAGATGCTTTCACTTCGAAGTGCATAACACAAGCACAAAATATTTAGTATACAATTCATAAAAGTAAAATGAAAATATAAAGTCGGAAGCATCATACGCTACAGTATTATTCTAATGAACGGCATTAATATGCATATTACTGTCATGTACCGTTAAGCAGATAATTTAAAGGCAACCTAATTAACAACAACTTTATCAAATGCTTCCTAAAATGCTGTGTTAACTCCTACTCATGACAGTCATTACAGATACTATATTAATTGTGTAATTGTATCGGAACCATACCGCAATTTCTGCTTTTCTTTTCACTAATTCAGCCAATTCCGCTCTAGTATCCACAGTTGTTTGATTCTTTGACGCCATTTTCAGCTCTGTCATTGTTTTTCAGCATGCAGATACAGTAACATACAAGGCTGCCAACTACATACGATCAACATAACTATTGGATGCATTCACAGATGAACTACATGTGTATTGAGCTTGCGTTGTGCATGTGATTATGGGGATCTGAAAGAAGTGATGTGTGATTACATATGCATTCACTGTTATAAACTGAGGTGAAATAAGAAGGAATAAAATGACATCGAAAGAAAGATATGTGCCAAGAGTTACACAAGTATGGATACATGACTAAAAATCAATGACATAGTTAATTAGCCGTATTGACACGAAACTCGTAGGCTCGAAGAGTCTAATTTCCATCTTGTACTTAATTTGTACTTTTTATTGACATTTTGAAATTGTTTTTATTATTTGTTGTATTATTACCGTGTCGCTGATTTTGATTATGTGACACGATAATACAATACGCACGAGTATGCATCTTCTGTAATACTCCCAGCATTCAGGGGCTATATAGACTCCATAACTGGCCAGAACGTATTTGCCATGAGAAAATATCTGTGTCGTTGATACAGACCGAACAGTGGGGTGAAGTCTCTTTGGCCATGAGCTGTGTTTCAATCACGTTTATTTACATAGTTTTCTTGGCTGGCATATAAAAATATATATTTATACATCTTGCAGTTGGTATCATACTAAAAAGGGAGACAGGAAAAATACATTTATCAGAACAGATGCCATCTCTTCTAATAAGCAATGAAAAAGTACAGGATCCAGGAACAGTGGCTAATGCCTTCAATAAAAGCTTAAATTTATATCAAACAGGGACAGGAGATGTTGTTTCATTTTTAAAAACTGCATTTCCTGAAAATTTTCTGGTCTTATTATTCCAACCACTGAAACTGAGGTGAAAAGTGTAATACAAACTAGACGGCTTAACAAACCCCGAAGGTTCATCACCGAACTAACCAAAGCCCTCCACCGGACCCTGTACTGGGCCAACAAAATCCAGTCTCCTTCATCTCCTATCTCCCATAGATCCCGCCTTACATTATCCTCCCATCTACGTCTAGGTCTCCCCAGCGGTCTCTTCCCCTCAGGTTTCCCAACCGGTACCCGGTGCACACCCCTTGTCCCATCCATGCGCGCTACATGCCCCGCCCATCTCATTCTTCTCGACTTAATCACCCTGACAATACTAGGGAGGAGTATAAATTTTTAAGTTCGTCATTATGTAATTTTCTCCATG